TTTTCTGCTTAAATTTAACAAGGGATTGGGTGGGAGGAAAAGGGCAAAGGCAAAAAAAGAAAGAAAAGAAACAGAATAAGAGGAAAGCTGATTTAAACGCAACTCAATCACAATTTGTGAATCTGATCGTGTATGAAATGGTCAGAAGTAGTAGCTCCATTATGAAATTGAGATTGCAATTTCTTTTTCTTTAAAAATAATTCACTGGGGTTGTTTTTAATTTCCTAACTATGAGATCTGTTCAGCAGAGAAACTCTCCGCTCCAGAGTGTGGTGGAGGCTCCTTCTTTGGAGACTTAAACAGAGGTTGGACTGGATGACCCACAAGGTCTCTTCCAACTCTATGATTCTATGACCTGTGTATCTCCCAGGTTTTTTGCTGCTACCCTTTGCATTTTAAAGAGTGGGCTTTTAAGGGTGAATTAGTTTTCTGGAGACTTTGAAAAGAAGGCAATTCACCTTTTCTTTTTGGCCAGAAAAATAACATCTTAGGGAGCTGAAGTAGGATGAGGCCAAATCTAGAAATGCTGGCCCAAGGTGATAGATTGATCCTATGACCTGGATTTGATCATGCTTAGCTGCAGTTTAACTTGGAGGAAAGTTCGGTCTTTGAGGCCCAAAGGCCTGCAAAAATAGCCTTGTTAGGATGTAATTTGCTCACCCCTGTGTATAGACTGTATTCTTGGAGGGGAGGTCTGTTTTATGTCTCCTTTCGAAACATGGGGATGGAAGAGGAGTTAATTGTGCACACACCAGCACTTGCAAGGAGTTGACACATCAATATCCCCACATTAGGCCATTAAGTGGATCCTATGGGAAAAAAAGAAACAAGAACAACTTGCAGCTTTTCATAGATTTGTTTATTTAAAACCTCATCTCTCCACCAACCTCTCAAATCATGTGAATTCTCAGGTAAAGGACAGGCGGGAGTAATGCTTAGCCTACAAGCTGGAAGACAGAGAAACTGATGACGATTAAAGAATTTGTAGCCCCACAGATGATGGGTCACAACTGCTATCATCCATGACTCCTTTCTATGTTTACAGGAGCTGATGGGATTTGGAATCTAAGGCCTTAAAGAGATTCTTCAAGGCAACCTTTCTCAACTCAATTACTCTACTGTTTATGTATGACCATTACATTGCCATGAAAGTAGTTCTTCTCCAACACATTCAGAAGTGGCTAGATTTAGAAAGGTAACAGCTTGATCAGAAGCTCTGGATTTGATAATGCTTAGTTATAGTCTCCCTGAAGAAAAGTTTAGTCTTTGAAGACAAAAGAGGAGTCCTAAAACAGGAGACCTCAAACTTTTTAAACAGTCACGGTCCCTCCGACTGTTGGGGGCCCCTGACTATACTTTGAAAAAAAAAAGAAAACATTCCTATGCACGCTGCATATATCTCATTTGTAGTTCAAAAATAATGAAACAATACAATATTTAAATTGAACCATTTTAACCAACATAAACTTACCAGTATTTCAATGGGAAGTGTGAACCTGCTTTTGGCTGATGAGACAGTAAAATTCATTAGTATTGTGTGCCTTCAAGTTAGTGGGGGGGGGGGGGGGGGGTGCGTAAAGGATCTTGGAGGGCCACATCCAGCTTGTGGGCCTTAGTTTGGGTATCCCTGGCCTAACGTGATTTGTTGCACCTGACTGAGAGCAACCTATAGGTTCCTGGGGGACATCAAGATCCCTATAAGGTACAATGACGGTCTTTTCAACTCAGAAGAGCAGACAGGGCAGTTGTGTGTGGCTGAGCATCCATGACCTATTCAGGTAGAAACAAACATACAACTCCTTAAGACTTCAGAGACTGAGGCCAACAGTATTTCATTAAGACTGTTTTAAAAAGTATGGAAATATGGGCTGAATATAACTACAGAATCAAGCAACGGCTTTGAATACACATAGTACAATTGCACTTCTGCCATAAGTGTCTACCAAAGAGGGAGAGTGGCATCTTTCCATGCTTCTACCCATGATTAAAGCGGCTACAGAAAACCTTACCAAGTGATGGTTGCATATAACCATCAAGTAAGCAAAGAGTGTTTCCAGATACATTTTTTTGCATTTTGCATTTTTTTTTTTGGAGCATTTATTAACCGCCATTCTCAGCCCACTCGGGCGACTCACGGCGGTGTACAGTACAAAAGGCAATTCACACAAAGACAAGTACAACAGCATATTAACCATACAACAATACAACAGTTAAAATTACACTAACTAATCCGCTTCGTCTCGTAATAGAATCGTGACCAATCTCGTATTCCTTGTACCATTCCAGTCGTCTTTACCACATTACTATAGCACTTAATTAAATGCCCTCTCGAACAGCCACGTCTTGAGGCTTTTTCGGAAGGACAAAAGAGAGGGCGCCTGCCTGATGTCTGTAGGGAGAGTGTTCCACAACCGGGGGGCCACCACTGAGAAGGCCCTCTCTCTCGTCCCCGCCAGGCGTGCCTGTGAGGCAGGCGGGATCGAGAGAAGGGCCTCCCCAGACGATCTCAAGGTCCTCGTGGGCTCATAGGCCAAGATGCGGTCTGAAAGGTATTTTGGGCCGGAGCCGTTCAGGGCTTTGTAGGCACACCAGCACCTTAAATTGGGCCCGGTAGCAAATCGGCAGCCAGTGGAGCTGGGACAACAAGGGTGTTGTGTGCTCCCTGTATCCCGCTCCAGTTAGTAACATGGCTGCCGCGCGCTGAACCAGCTGAAGCTTCCGGGCCGTCTTCAAGGGCAGCCCCACGTAGAGAGCGTTGCAGTAGTCAAGGCGGGATGTGACCAGAGCGTGTACCACCGTGGCCAAGTCAGACTTCCCGAGATACGGGCGCAGCTGGCGCACGAGCCGAAGCTGTGCAAATGCTCCCCTGGTCACCGCTGAAACCTGGGGATCCAGGCTCAACGATGAATCCAGGGTCACACCCAAGCTGCGAACCTGCGCCTTCAAGGGGAGTGCGACCCCATCCAGCACAGGCTGTAACCCTATACCCTGTTCGGCCTTGCGACTGACCAGGAGTACCTCTGTCTTGTCTGGATTTAATTTCAGTTTGTTCGCCCTCATCCAGACCGTCACAGCGGCCAGACACCGGTTCAGGACCTCGACAGCCTCCTTAGTAGCAGGTGGAAAGGAGTGACAGAGTTGGACATCATCTGCGTACAGATACAGCACTGACTGCGACAACAAGCCTCTACACCAGTGGTTCCCAAGAACTAAAATATGGTCCACGGCCTCAACATTACAACACTGTTGCAACGAGAGCGACCGATCTCGCGAAACTCTCTTATAGTTCCGAGGCTTATTAAATATGGTTTTCTGTGGGCGAGCAGATGGCGACTACTGGATGGGGTATGTTCTGTATTAGAAACTAGAGCTGATGGGGTCTATCTAATGCAACTTTCTGAATCGGCATCCCAAATAACCAAACCAAATCTAAAGTTGGCCAAAAACTGACTTGTAAACTGGTATTAATGTTGGAGTGGTCCCTGGTCAAAGTGGTCCCTGGTCAAGTGATCCCTGGTTTAAAAAGGGTTGGGAACCATTGCTCTGCACAAAATTGGATCAATATGGCTTATTGTTTACTTATAATTCCCATGCAGGCTTCTGACATTTTACCATATTTTAAACCTGAAAATAAACTATTAACGGGGGAAAAAGATGGAATAGCTTCACAAGGCCTTTGGATTGGTAAGTGCTAAGTTGTTGTTGTTCATTTGTTCAGTCATCTCCGACTCTTCGTGACCTCATGGACCAGCCCACGCCAGAGCTCCCTGTCGGCCGTCACCACCCCCAGCTCCTTCAAGGTCAGTCCAGTCACTTCAAGGATGCCATCCATCCATCTTGCCCTTGGTCGGCCCCTCTTCCTTTTGCCTTCCACTTTCCCCAGCATAATTGTCTTCTCTTGGCTTTGCTGTCTCCTCATGATGTGGCCAAAGTACTTCAACTTTGTCTCTAGTATCCTTCCCTCCAATGAGCAGTCGGGCTTTATTTCCTGGAAGATGGACTGGTTGGATCTTCTCGCAGTCCAAGGCACTCTCAGAACTTTCCTCCAGCACCACAGTTCAAAAGCATCGATCTTCCTTCACTCAGCCTTCCCTAAGGTCCAGAGCTGGACCTTAGGGAAGTGCTAAGAGCTGTCTGAAAATACTGAAGTAAGAAAACTTTAAAGCTTTGTTTCCCTGCCTTTCTCACCTGTGCAAAAGATCAATTCTCTTCTGCTCTTGTCAGGACAGAAAACTATTATAAAGGCATAACCCACTAAAGCAGGGATGAGAATCATATCCCCCCCCCCCCCACTCTCCCAGGTGTTGAACTGCAATGCCCTTGGCCACCATAACCATTAGGGAATCATAAGATTGATTGCAACCCAACCACTAGTGTAGTGATTACATTCTGTAACAAAATTTGGAAAATGTTCTGTTCCTGATTGGAAAGTGTTATTTCCTGTTTCATTGTGTGGTACTTACGTTCAAAGTAGTTGATATGCTCCAGAAACTTCGTTTTTGTGTCTGCCACAAACTACATTGAAGTGGTTGAGACTAAGTGAGATATTCATTGAAAAACTATAGCAAAATTGTACTGCAGGATGTCCGCAAAAGTTTTTGCAGTGTAATAGGCCTTTCCCATATTTTATGAGAGAACAGCCTGAGGTTGTTAGGAATGGTGGGAGTTGGAAGTCCAAAACACCTGGAAGGAGGGGCTAAGTTTGTCCATACCGAATATAATTGCTCGGCAGGCTGATAAAAGTTACTGTGTGTACTGTTTCCTGGTAATAAACGGGCCAATGGCGAGTACTCAAAAGAGTTTGTGCCAAGCCCCAAGGATAAGGTGGGTGAAGGCTAGGTATTGAACCTGTTACACACGCTTCAGAGCTGGAGTCCTGGATTGACGGGGGCAGCATTAAGTGCCCTTTCCTATACGTGCTCGGACCATTCTGGAGGGACACGCTGCATTCAGGAGGGCGTCTTCCCTCGCTTCCAGGGGTTAGGCGCTGAAGCCCCGCCCCTTTGTCGGGCTCCGGCCCCGCCCCGACAGGTGTATTTTCTGGCGCATGCGCTTTGTGTGTCCGCCAGCCGCCGCTCGCACTTCACCTCCCAGCCCCTTTGGCCGAGATGGCGAAGGCTGGCTCCCGGGGCCACGTTTGTCTCCGATGGATGCGACGCGGATGCTGGGTGCTGGCCTACCTCGGGGCTGTAGGCGTGGCGGATTTCTTGCTCCTCCTCTCCAGGCCTGGCACCAGTGAGTGGCACGCACCCCTTCCTTTGCCCCCAGGGAAGGAAGGAAGGGAGGGAGGGAGGGAGGAAAGAGGAAAGGAAGAAGAAAGGGAAGGAAAGAAGGAAGGAATGTAAGAGAAGGAAGGAAGGAAGGAGAAGGGAAGTAGGGAGGAAGGAGAAGGAAGGAAGGAGAAGGAACAAAAGAAGGGAGGAAGGAGAAGGAAGGAAAGAAAGAAAGAAAGAAAGAAAGAAAGAAAGAAAGAAAGAAAGAAAGAAAGAAAGGAAAAGAAAAGGAGGAAGGAAAGAGAAGGAAGGTAGGTAGGAGAAGAAAGGAAGGAAAGAAGGAAGGGGAAGAAAAGAAAGGGAAGGAACGAAAACAGGAAGGAAAGAGGGAAGGAAGAAGGAAAGAAAAGGAAGGAATGTAGGAGAAGGAAGGAGGGAGAAGGAGAAAGGAAGCAGAAGGAAGAAAAGAAGGGAGGAAGGAGAAGGGAGGAAGGAGAGAGGGAAGGAAGGAAAAGGAAAGGAGGAAGGAAAGAGAAGGTAGGTAGAGACAAAAGGAAGGAAAGGAGGAAGGAAGGGTTCTGGTTTTCATTATATAATTTAAATTACATATATTAGTATCTCATATAATTATATTGAGTACATTAATTGCAAAAAGTTATATGATTATATATCTCCATATAATTTAAATTATATATTAATATATCGTCTTATTGTGTACATTAATTACACATGTTATATAATTCTATAACTTCGTATAATTTAAATAACTTCATATATTGGATCTTTTCGTCATATGATTTTATGTAATTATATCATTTCTTTTAACTGATATATGTGTATATATATAAGTGGCATCTAATACGCTGCCCTGAGTTGCCTTTGGTCTGATATTAGCAAGGAAGCCAGGCAAGGCTGCATTTTATCACTCCATCTGTTTAACTTGTATGTTGAACAGATACATAATGCAGGATTGGAATCAGAAGGAGAGTTTGAAAATCAGAGGAAGGAGCATCAGTATGCAGATGACACCATACTACTCGCAGAAAATAGCAAAGACTAGGAACAATTACTGAAAACAGTCAAGCAAGAAAGTGCAAAAGCAAGGTTGTAATTGAACATTAAGAAAACAAAATTAACTTTTGGTTGCTTTGAGCATTCTGGGGTGTGTGGCCATGTTCCAGAAGCATTCTCTCCTGACATTTCATCACATCTTTGGCAGTCATCCTCAGAAGTTTTTATTTATTTATTAAAATAGACATACATTTGTGTTTGTTGCGTACAGTGCAGTATTTTCCAGCTATTAGTATTTCGTTATCATTTCTCACATAATATCTTTTCTGGGGGCTTCTGAGGTATATAATGCCAGCGGTGTGAGAAGAGGAGGTCTCTAGCTGTTTCTTCAGCAGTTTCTGATATTGTGATTCCACAGCAAGAGTTGTCATGTGGTGTGACACAGAGAGGTCCAGGAAGCAGCTTCCTTTTGAACCCTTCCGTCTTGCTCCTGGTCCATTCCTCTTTACTGGGCTACTTTACTTTTAATTATCAACATCCTTCCTTTACATTTTAACAAAAAGAGGCTGTAGACCCAAAATGGAAATGGTAGGCCAGGGCAGAACAAATTCAATACAAGTCTGCAAACAAAGTGTTGCTTCCCTTGCACTTTATTATAATTCATTTCTGGATGAAAAGGAAGTCAAATGTTGTAGCTTATCTTTTTTTAAGAAATACTTGTTAGGGTATGGACATTTTAGTACAATATAAACAAACAGTGTAATGAGAATATGGTAAAGTGTTCTTGAAAAACAGGATACTATCCACAGAGACTAACAAGGATTGCTGACATTGATGTGGATATGTGCATTTTTTTCAGGGGAGAAAATCATGTGCTTAAAAAGTAAGATTCACCCCCCCCCCCCACGCACACACACACACTTTTAAGCACCTCCTCTGGGAGGTGATGCAGTGGGTGAAACCCTTGTGCTGGCAGGACTGCTGACCGAAATGTTGCAGGTTCGAATCCGGGGAGCAGGGTGAGCTCCCATCTGTCAGCTCCAGCTTATCATGCAGGGACACGAGAGAAGCCTCCCATAGGATGGTAAAAACATCCGGGCGTCCCCTGGACAATGTCCTTGCAGACAGCCAATTATTTCACACCAGAAACTACTTGCAGTTTCTCAAGTCACTCCTGACACACACACACACACACACACAAAAGCACCTCATCTCATTGCCAGCATGGCATTTATTTATTATTTACTTATTTACTTCATTTATATACCGCTTTTCTCAGCCCTTAGGCGACTCAAAGCGGTTAACAATAACAGTTTCAATACACACATTACAAAATCATTGGAACATTTAAAAGCAATAGCATAACAACAATTAAACATCAATATGACAAATCATTCACGTCTCATCAACAGAATCAGAATCCAGTCTCATCATCCATTATTCCGTGTTCCTATAATCAATTACACTGCCTAATCGAATGCCTGTTCGAACAGGCATGGTATCAGGTACCATCTAACACTTTGAAATTGTCCTTAAAATATGTTGTTCTTTCAATTCCTACTTTCTCAGTAGTATTAAAATATGATATTTCCATATTGATGGCAGGAGCCTCCGGTAGCGCAATGAGTTAAACCCTTGTGCCAGCGGGACTGAAGACTTACGGGTCACAGGTTCGAATCCGAGGAGAGCGTGGATGAGCTCCCTCTGTCAGCTTTGGCTCCTCATGCGGGGACATGAGAGAAGCCTCCCATAAGGATGATAAAACATCAAAACATCCAGGCATCCCCTGGGCAACATCCTTGCAGATGGCCAATTCTCTCACACCAAAAGCGACATGCACTTTCTCAAGTCGCTCCTGACATGGAAAAAAAATGATGGCAGCTAGTTTTAGCTACAGATGGTCTGCGTTTTTTAATTGTGTTATTTTATCTTATGTGTTGATAGTGGTTGTTTTTTTTAATCATTTTTATGTGATATTGTTTTATACTCATGTATTGTTTTATGTTATATACTACACTTGGAGTGCTTTGTAAGCCGCCCCGAGTCTCATTTTTGGGAGATGGTGGCAGGATATAAATAAAGTTTATTATTGTTATTGTTATTATTATTATTTATGTGTTGATTTATAAACCACATTATAGGAGGTAAAGTCAGTAAAGATACAGTAAATAAATCCTAACAATAATGCAATTATAAAATCAACGTTTCTGAATTGCATACACAAACGTTTCCCAAATGAAGCGTCCTGAGCCTATTCAAAACAGCAGAACTGATTGAAATAAATCTTCATACTAGTGATGGGAATTTTAATGTTTGTAAGATTGACAGGTAGTTAATGATATTACAAATGGAGTACATGCAATATGACAAAGGCATGACAAGATTACTACTCCGTTAAATGACCTTGAATATATATCTTGTCTGGAAATGACCTAATAGTAATTTAGTCAAATAAGTATAGATTAATGTGTAATCAGCACTAACCGAACAACCTTATGCCTCATTTACATTTTCATATAACACAAACAGATAATTGCAAAATAGATAAGATGCCATGTCAGGGGTTTATATAGAATAAAGAATGTGTTGAGCGATGGTGCAAGCAAGTGAGCTGTGCTACCCTTCAAAGGTGGCAGGAAAGAGAAACCTTAGGATCAGAATTTCACAATTTAAAGGAGGCAGGCAGGGTAAAGAGAAACATTATCATGCACTATAATGTTGAAATGTCTGAACTGGCAGTAATGAATTATCTCATTCTCTGTTTCATCTGCCTTGCAAATGGACACACAAAATTGCAGGTGCATATTTTACTGTGTCCATTCCTAAATAATGCCTAAGGAAGAAGAAGGACTAGCAAAGGAAGGGACCTGTGAGTATTCCTTGCCTAACTAAATGATGTGAAATTCATGGAATTGCCATAAGTCGACAGGGTACTTGAAGGCACAGACAATTCTAAGTTGAGTGTTGCTTAATGATTTCTTTTGAAACAATTTTACTAGCTTGCTGCTGAGTTTTGTCATTTTCTGTAATGCAACTGTGATATATTTAGATTGAAGAGCATATTCCACCTGTTTGGAAAGTAGTGTGATGTCTACAGAGGAGATACACGCACACACACACAATAATAATAATAATAATAATAATAATAATAATAATAATAATATTGGTAAAAAACAAAGTTTAGATTGTCTATGTCGCAATCCCAGGTGTCAGCAGGACTGAAGAGAAACAACTGGAAAAGCTGACACAATATGAGGATTTAAAGATAGAACTGCAAAGACTCTGGCACAAGCTAGAGTGGTCCCAGTGGTGATTGGCACATGGGGTGCAGTGCCTAAAGACCTTGGCCTGCACTTAAACACAATCGGCGCTGACAAGATTACCATCTGCCAGCTGCAAAAGGCCACCCTACTGGGATCTGCACACATTATTCGCTGATGCATCACACAGTCCTAGACACTTGGGAAGTGTCCGACGTGTGATCCAATACAACAGCCAGCAGAGTGATCTTGTTTGCTGTGGACTCATCTTGTTGTGTTTCAAATAACAACAACAACAACAACAACAACTTTATTTTTATACCTCTCCTCTATCTCCCTGAAGGGACTTGAGGCAGCTTACAAAGGGACATGCCCAACAAATACAGGTTGAAAACAAGCACAGAAATACAATCAGTAACAAAAATCAATAAACATAATAGCCAGACAACGTTTTAAAAACAATTAAAAACAATATCATGGCATCACACATACTTCCCAAATGTTCATTAATTAATTTTGAAGCAGCTTCAACTGTGACAAATCTTCTATGTGAATAAGATGCTAAAGCCTCACAAAACATATTATGACTTGCACATGTTGCAAGCATGTTCTCTTTCATTACACGCTTTATACATGAGCTAAAATGCTGAAGGCAGTTGTGATGTATGAATGACAGAAGAAGAGATCATATGCTAAGCCTATGTTTTCCATCCTTTTTTTCAAGGAAAAATAAGTTTGTGATATTTTAAAAGGCTATTTTATCTGTGTTTTGGAAAATGAAACACATCTAGTTTTCTAATTGTGAGTGTTTACATTGGACTTGTTTTGGTCTATGGAAATAGCACTTGTAGCTCATGGAAAGCTGTAGAACTGAAAACAGCTACCTGGTAACTTCATTTTACTGGCAATTCAGATATTAGACAGGATACTATTTTCTACTTGTTAGGCTCATCTGTATAATATATTGATACTATTTAAGTCCATACATTGTAATACATTATGTTCCTAATTTTCCGAAATTGCTGTAAAATTATATTTGCCTTTTATTGTGCATTGACAACCAGTATGGTAAGGTTGGGGTTGTTTTCTTGTTTGGAATGGGTTTCATCAACTGTTATAGCTGCTGGAAGACCTACTTTAGAATATGACACCTCTATAATACATGGATGTTTCCTATTTCAGAATCCATCAGTTTCTGTTAACTTTATAGGGCATACACTAGATCTCTACAATCCCCTAGTTTTGATCTGGCACCCTGATTATGTTAGCCTTTGTGTTTCACTATTTAGAACTACTTTCAGTAGGAAAGCCTTTTAATGCTTCTCAAAACTGGCACAAATTGACTACAGTTAAACACTTCTAAATGGGGCAGATTTCGGTGAACTTAAATGTGAGCTCATTTTATTCTGTGCAATCAACAGGGCTTAACCCTGCTTCATTGTGGTTGGCTGGTGCTTAGTGTGCTCTGTTCCAAATAACAGCAGTTACAATCGATTTTTGCTGGGTTTCAGATTCTAGTGGCCTTTCTCAATGACTGTTTTTCTTGCATCTACACTGGCTGAAAATAAGAAGAATAACTGATGTCTGCAAAAAGACTTGGCTGATAATTGATTATTTACTTTACTGGAAATAGAGGGGAGCTTCGTCCCAACTTTTGAATTTGAGAACCTTCTATCTTTGCTGTAAAATCTGTTCTTGTTGAAGAATAGCACAGGGCTGTGCCCCCCCCCCCCCAGTTTTTGAAGTATTACTCCATTTGTGTTGTCGAAGGCTTTCATGGCCATAATCACTGGGTTGCTGTGAGTTTTCCGGGCTGTATGGCCATGTTCCAGAAGCATTCTCTCCTGACATTTCACCTGTCTCTATGGCAGGCACCCTCAGAGGTTGTGAGGTCTGTTGGAAACTAGGCAAGAGGGGTTTATATATCTGTGAAATGTCCAGGGTGGGAGAAATAACTCTTGTCTGTTTAAGGTAAGTGTGAATGTTGCAATTGGCCACCTTGATTAGCATTGAATACCCTTGCAGCTTCCATTTCATGGTTCCTCATACTGTTAATCATGGTGGCAGGGTTTAATGGTATTTGGAATTCAACTGCTTCTAGAGGGCCACAGGTTGACTAACCTGGTCAAAACAGGCACATATGTACATATTGAAGAGGGAGTTGTCTGTTACATTAGAAGGGCACTCTCAGATTTTTGGAGAACCGTTTCCCTGTGCACTTGCTTGGGACATTCTTCCCTTCCCACACAATTCTTGAGGTTACTTAGATATCTGACTATCTCAGTTCTGCATGTATTTCTCAAATGGTGAGATCTGCATACAGAAGGTTTAAAAGGCTTGTGTAATTCCAGAATTTTGCAAAACTAAAAGTAATTTGGGGGGGGGGGTGAGGTAAAAAATAATTTCCCATGAAATGGCCCATTGAAGAGTGAGCAAACTCAGAGACCATACATTACTGACTGATGAATAGGGCAAAGAGGAAAAACTTGGGAAAAGGAATGGAAGAGAGAGGCTGGAATCCTAAATAGAAGCATTCAACATCTTGCTGTAAGTCATTCGTGTCTGTCTGTCTGTCTGTCTGTCTGTCTGTCTGTCTGTCTGTCTGTCTGGCTATCTATCTATCTATCTATCTATCTATCTATCTATCTATCTATCTAAATGTAAATGTCCATTTGTGAATTACCTCAAATCTCCCAAAATATTTCACCGATTGCTTCAAAATTTGGACACAACATAGCATTTGAACAGGCAAATGTTTAATGTATTCACATACCTACTATTATATAGATGTCACACCTGTGACAGGGAAAAACGTGCTTGCCATCAAAAACAGTGCCATCTGCTGGACGTCCAAGCAACACATCATGAAGCAACCCCATCAGCATTGGAGCTGCCATTAGGGATCCATGTCCTGGTGGCACCCCCCCAACCAAGCCTGCCTGCCTGTCTCCCTCCAGAGCAGAACCAGGAGAAGAGCGGAAAAAGGGCGGTGGAGCAAGTAGGGAAATCCAGACTAGGGAGAAGGCTGGGGCACAGGCCCAGGGGAGGGAGGGAAGAAGGCAGGCAAGGAGGTAGGCCCAGCCCAAACCCTGGGCTTCCATAGCCTCATGTCCTGCCTGGCCTTGCCCAGCACCAATTGTGCCCACACCTCCAAAAAAACTAGAGACTCAAAAGGAAGGAAGAATTGATTGGTAGGAAGTGAGAGATACATTGGAAGGAAGGAAACGAAAGTGTTTTCCCCAAACACACTGATCATTATTATATAGACCAGTATCATTGCTATTATTGTCATTATTATATACACCAGTATTATTATTATAAAGATTATATAGGCCGGTATTATTATTGTTTATGCCATTATTATTATTATTATTATTATTATTATTATTATTATTATTATCACAGACAATGGAACAACAAAAAATATTGTATAATCACAAGCATTATGAAATTGCATATATTGGAAACCAGCTCTTTCTCTTTTCTTTCTTTTCCATTTAACCAGACTGAGCCACAGCAACACGTGGCCAGGTACAGCTATAGGAACTCAAGGCGGCTAACAGCAAACATGACACAATATAAGTAAAACAGAGCAAAATGTGTTCAAATACGACTATATAAATTTTAAAAGCAATTAAATTATTGTGTGTTGGAACATAAAAATATTAAAATACATTTGAAACTAAACTTAAAAACTAGCCCCATCCCCCCACATTCCACTTACCTATTATTGTCATCTGGGATTCACATTCTGTCTGGGATTGCTATACCTCAATTTTCAATGCACAAATTGAAAATGTATCCTATGCCCCCATAGTGTTCAAATCAAAATACTACATTCCAATCTTCTGTATAAGAGATCAGAATTGAGTAAGGCATTTTTTAATTCCATAAAAATATAATTCAAAATTCATATGGTAAGGGATCTGGTTGCAATTTCAGAAGCATAAAAGAACCACTTTCTGCCTTTAAGACAAAAGAAAGCTGCTAACTCCTTATAAATACTGCAATGAAGTGTGGAAGAAGGGCTCATGAAATAGTGAGGAACTCAGTTTATTAAATTGTTTAACAGCTAGAGGTAGTCTTGGTATCGAGTTGGGTTCTTATTTTGGAATCTGGAAATGCTGCATAAAGCATGAGAAGGTCTTGCTTCTGTATTTCCTTGATGCTTCCTACATCAGCTGTGACCTTACCAAAATAGTGAGTTTAGCAGTATCCTAACAAGTCACTATAATGTGATATATCCACATTACAATGTAGACTAGCAGAAGAGCAGAATCCAGCATGAGCAAGATGGTACAATCTCTCCTTCCTGCTCCATCACACTGAGCATCTCCAAAGGGTTTCAAAGACTTCGAGAACATGGTTTCAGGAACTGGAGGATGAATAGGAAGAGGATGAAAATCCCAGTGCTTCTGAGAGTGTCACACTGGATTTAGGCCATGGAGTATATGAAGAGTGGTATTGTAAAGGAAATTAAACTGTTTCGTTGCCTCACCTACCACTTCAAGCGAACAAGGATAATATATTTGAGTGCATACAGTATTTACAGGCTATATGCAGAGTCCTCCGTGTGCACAGTGTTCCCATTGTCTGCAGTAGGAATAAGCAGAAGTCTCTCCCAATTCATAGTTGCTGATACAAAAGCCCCCCTTGCTTCCAGAGGCTGTTTGGCTACAACCAAAGCTCTGCCATAGATCAGGCTTTCATTGCTGTAACAATGTATGGTCTGCCATAATTGAATCCGTTACTGAAGTCATGTTTATTTTTAGATTGCTTAGCTAAAGCTGGTTGTATTCAATGTCTTTTCTCTCTCTTCCTTCCAGGTTTATTTTCTTGGCACCCTTTCTTCATGTCAATAGCAGTAAGTTATGCTCTTCAATATTCCAGGAATACTTAAACTTTGCTTTTGGAGAGAATGACAGACTAAGGCAGTGTACAGAAATTTGCATTTTAAAAAGGAAGTAGCAGTTCGTGGCTTCTATATCATGGTATTGTAAACCCACTGATTTCAGCCTGAAGTTTAAAAGAGCCGTCTAAGGTTCTGATTGTTGGAGGGGATGAGCACCTTGAAAAGCTCCTTTAAACCTCAGACTAAAGCCAAGAGCCTGACATCCTCTTAGTTGCACAAGTCAATGTTTTTGTTTGATATGGAGGTTGGTATCCACTACCTCTCTCTAGATTTATCATAGAGTCATTGCAGCACCCTCAAGGCCATTTTAAATGGAGGAGAAATTATTTATGATTAGTATACTTGGCATATACAAAAAAAGATGAATCCATGCATTTGTTTATTAAGCCAACCCATATGTAGTAGCTGAGGTTTCAATGGAGTTCCAAAAACACTAAGTAAATATGTTCTTGGAAGCCTTGACTAATCGTGGCATTATTTTCTTTTCCTTGTAAGGAAAGAGAGCAGCATTGTATGTCAGGATGATTTGTTCTGGTCCAGTAGTATTGATGCCAGCTACAGGCTTTAGGAATCTTTAAATATGCCTTATCACATTTTGGGAACTTCTCCCCTTCATCTAGGCTAGGGGTGAGGAATGTGTGGCCCTCCCAATGTTGAACTGTAGCTTAGCAGTGTGGCCAATATTATGGTGTATTCCACTGTACGTGGGTCATGCTAATATTTTTTGTATCAACCTCGCTTCAACAGGACATATAGGAAAATGAATATGATGCAAATTTTGGTGTGGCCTCCTGCAAAAAGATGACAAATTCATGAAATGTTCCATATTTTTGGAGGTGTATTTCAATGCCTCCAGAGCCATATATATCTGCCGACCCTGCTGTAGGCTCAGTCTGTACAACCACCAAGAATAAAGGCAGGGTACTTTTGCCTCCTAGAAGCTATAGATTTCAGTTCCATGAAGCTCCAGCTAGTTTTATTTATTTATGTATTTACTGCATTTATATACCACTTTTCTCACCCCTGAGGGGACTCAAAGTGGTTTCCAACATAATAGTGGCAAAATTCAATGCCATACATACATGTGAAAACCAAAACATAATTTCTAGACAATAACATACACTATCAATTAAGAACCTTAACCATATTACATGTATCAGCATAAAACAACATATACGTTAAAATCACATCATGAAAACATATCAATTAGAATAATTATTTAAAATTATGCAATCCTGGAACGTAAATCAAGAGCTATTCCAATTGTCATCTGTAATTTTTTTATTATTTCAGTGCAATATCAATTATTGCACTATGGCTGTGCAAATGCTTGGTCCCACAACCAGTATAGCCTATGGAAAGGAGTTGTAGGAATTTTGGACTAAAATATTATCTATAATGTAATATAAAGATTCTCCATCCTTTTCCTGGGGAAGAAGTTGTGACTTTTGCTCTTGAAACTTTTCTGCACTTAGAGGCAGTAGTGGTAAATAAGAGACGTATCAGGGGTTCAGGGTTCAGCAGTGGTCAGTGGTGTCTTACACAGATGTAACTCATTTTAGTTTTCCTGCCACAAACAAATGACACAATAATAATAATAATAATAATAATAATAATAATAATAATAATTGTTACTTGCTTAACCCTATGGCTTAAGATGTGGCACAACTCTTGGGACCAATCTATATACTAGGTAGAATGACATGGTAAATGAGGGGTTGTACCACTTCAGGCTCTCCCAAAACAACACCTCATCCCTTCTTCCCAACATATAGGAAAAAATGGAAAGACGTATTCAAGTTACGTAGATTGGTAAATCAATATTTATTGGTAAATCAATATTCCGTAGATTTACCAGATGTGAAACACTGCTGCTTGAGTGACCTGAAAATTCAACATGAAAAGGGAGATGAAGAATTAAGCTTTTTAATCTGATGTGATACTGTCTAAGAAAGGGCTTCCTACTTTGTTTATCAGCTCCTCATCCAGTGCAAAGGCTTTGGTGCTGCTTGTAAATTGGCATCGATGCTCACCTGATTCTTTACTAGTGGTGGCTAGACATCTATATGTCGTTGAAGCAGCAAATATGGATCATGATTTAGTCGAGATTTTAAAAGGGACGTCCAAGGTGTTGATTGCACTGAGATTTAGCACCTTGTACATGCCCTTTAAAGTTTGTACTTAGAATGGATTTACCCTTCCACTTAACTGATAGCCACAATCCATCAACTGTTTTCAAAGGGAAAATAGACGTGTTGGCTAATGGGCTTCTTTGTTCTCAGTTCTGCCTCTGCCTGACTGAAGCCATCCTGATCTTTTCACCAGACAGCTCATTGTTCCTCTTCTGCTGTTGCTTCCGCAAAGTGAACACACAACTGCACTGGACTCTTCCGACGCTGGCACTTGTGGTTGCAGCATTGGGCTTGGCCTTCATTGTCTCCAGCAAGAACCGAAGTGAACTCTCACACTTTGTCTCCTGGCACAGCATTGTCGGTCTCCTGACCTTTGTGGCTGCATGTGGGCATATTTTGTGTGGACTTTGCCTACGTTTTCCACACCTCCTGAGGATGTCATTTATATCTCCGCTCCGACAGTATCACCTTATGTGTGGACTGATAGTTTACCTTCTTGCCACATTCACTGTGGTACTAGCCATCTGTTCTGATTGGGTTCAGGCTCAGATTAAAGGACTTGTTTGGTATTTATCCATGGGGCTCCTCTTCTGCCCAGCCTTGGTGATTGTGAACCAGGTCGCCAGAACTCATTTGCCAAAGAAGGGACAATGCATCTAAATCTCAGAAGGACCCTTGAGAAGCAACATTTCATCCACTTTGTTTTTCCCTGATATTTATTACAATACTTTGAGAACTTCTGTGTCCAATGCTTCTTTTGTTCTGTTCCATGTTGTATGCATTGTTGTGCACATGTGCAAATGTGTGATCTGTCTTGATTTAGAAAAATATTCTCCTGTTTCAGTTTTTGTCTAGTATATGCTAATTCCGGTTCAGGATTCTCTAGTATTCTGCAGAAAAACATCATATTTCAGCTCACAAATCAGGAGCCCCTTGTGATGCAATGAGTTAAAACCTTGTGCCAGCAGGACTGCTGACCAAAAGGTCAGCAGTTCAAATCCAGGGAACAGGGTGAGCCCCCGTTTGTCAGCTCCAGCTTCTCATCTGGGGACATGAGATAACCCCCCCCCCCCATAGGATGATAAAACATCCAGGTGTCCCCCAAGCATTGTCCTTGCAGACGGCAAATTTTCTCACACCAGAAGCGACTTGCAGTTTCTCAAGTCATTCTTGACATGAAAAAAGCTCAAAAAACAACAGATATGCTGAGGTAATCCTCCCTAAATCTGCAATGCTTTTCTGATGCAGAAAACAAGATCACATTTCTTGTGGTATAGATTATTCACAGATTTGGTTAATATGTTCTTTCCAGAAATCTCTGCATTCCCTAGCACAACTCTGTGGTCAACCTTTGGCAAAAGCAGACCAAAGAGTCATGCTGGGAGACCTAGGGATTCCATGAAAGGTTTCATCTAATATTTTTAAAGTGTTTGTTTTTAAAAAAGTTTTTTTAAAGTTTTTTTTCACTTTCATAGTTTTGGGTGGATTTTTAAAAAATACATTTAAAAAGGATTTTGAAGATTTTTCACTGAAGTCTTGCAATTCTTTTGTGGAATCCTATGGTTACACACAACACAGTTTGGGAACTGCTGCTCTACAGCAGTCATCCTCTATCTTTGTGTCATCTAAAGGTGTTAAACCAGGAATGAGCAAACTTTAGCCCTACGGGTATTTTGGACTTCAATTTCCACAATTACTAACAACCAGTAAGCTGACTGGGATTTCTGGGAGTTAAAATCCAAATCCAAAGTTTGCCTATGCCTGTGTTAAACTCTATCTTGTAGAATGCCCCAACCAGCTCTTCAGTTCTACCATGTGCTCTGCTCTATATGTTCATAAGCATATAATCAAATGACTCTCGAATATCTTCAGCAAAACTGGGCTTATTCTCCATGCAGGGTTTATTCTTGACATCCTATCACTCAGTCAACATGTCTTCTACAAGCCCCATCACTGTCCTCCTCCTGCAAGGACTTGAAAACCTGGTGGTTCCAGCAAGCTTTAGAAAATGATTAGCCCCAGGCCCTACCCTGGCAAACAGTTAGGCCCCTGTTCTGCACTTGTCCACTTCCCCGGCCCTGTGCTACCTCATTGTAGCCCAGCCCCAGCCCTATTATAGCTATTCAGCAGGCCTGGGAAATGAATAGCCCCAGGCCCTACCCTGGCCATTAGTTAGGGCCCTGCTTTGCACTTTACCCACTTCCCTGGCCCTATGTTTCCCCCGTTGACCCATCCCTTCTATAGCTGTTCAGCAGGCCTTGGCAATAAATAGCCCTAGGTCCCACCCTGACCATCAGGCAGGACCCTGTTTGCATTTTACCCACTCCCCTGGCCCTGGTTTAATTTGTTAGCTCAGTGCAGTAACCCAGCCCCCTCATAATTGTCTAGGCCATTGGTAGCTGAATTTTTGGCCAATGGAAATTAGTACTGGAATTGGCTTTTAACTTTAAATATGTATGATTGTTTTATAGTATCATGTTTATGTTTTATAATTGTTACTCTGTATTTGTTGTGTGGTAATTGAATGTTTTACCTGAGTTGGAAACTGCCCTGAGTCCCCTTGGGGTGATAGAGTGGTATACAAATAAATGATGATGATGATGATGATGATGATGATGATGATTATTATTATTATTATTATTATTATTATTATCTCCCTCACTTCCCCACTGAAACATTAGCCATTCCCTTCTGTTGAAAAATATGGTGGTTTATGCACCACAGGACTTGTCCTGGACCTCCCTAGTTATTGTCTCCCATCAGCAATGTTGACCTAAACTCCAAGTGCTCAGTGTATTTGGTTTCTGTACATGGAAGGAGAAATGGTTGCCATCCTACCCTTCTCTTTGGATCAAATGATGATTGGTTTTTACTTCTGCATATGTTTTGGAGGAGATAAGTTCTAATACTTGCTGATATACTTGCTTTATCCTGCTAGCCTGGTGGGTTTGGTTTTTAATTTCTGGAAAACAGCTCTGAAGCAAACACATTAGTCACAAAAGCCTCACATCTTAACAAAGAAAGCCTGCTCAACACCAACTCTGGTGCTGCCCTGTGTGTGTGTGTCTTCTCAAGTGTGCAGATGGTGAGTGGGTGTGTCCACAGGCTCATCCAAGTTTCATGAGCGGAACTAATGTGAGTTTGTACATCTCTGTAGGAATGAGTCTCTAGCAGCACCTGCAGTCCTGTGATGCACATGTATCTTACTCATGCATCTTCTGAGTAAATGTCTGTGGACTGCGGTGTGAAGTTTACCAGTCTAGATAGAGCCCCCCAAAAAGAAGAGGTTTCTTGTAAGGATGGGAAGAATAAAGTGTGTATGGATAGAAAACATGTGGGTTCCTTTTCTCCTGAGTAGAAATAGGGTACTGCCACTATTAACTTAAACTCAGGTTGAGAACTGAACCAGAAAGGTGGCTGAAAGTAGCAAGAGAAGGAAGCTAACTCATAAACCATTGTGAACTGAGAAGCAGCAAGACTGAGTCTACCACTAAGTAGAATGAAGCAACCAGTTTAGGGCTGGACATACACTGTTAAATAGATCTGCTTACAGACAATGTGTAGCAGACTGTGGTGCTGCTAATTCATCAGTGTTGTTAATGACCCGACAACAGAAGTCTGATTCTGTGGTGTTAGCCTTGTGTTCCTCCAGTGCTACAAGGGCTAACCACATTGTTAGGAAGTTCAGGCAAAGGGCATGGGTGTCTATTGATGTGTTAATGATTTTACTGTCTAAATCCCTGGGAGCAGAAAAAGAAGGAAAAAAACCCCAACAATCCATATTGGTAGTCACTTAAACTCCACAAGGGGGAACTATTTTCAAAGGCTTCCTATAGGGGAGTAAAATCCCAGCAAGAATCATTCACAGCATGGATACTAGAAATTACATTGCTATGATATTCTCATGCATTTGCTACAGGATGCCATATCTAAATACTTCAATCACACTAGAGGATGAATCCACTTTAAATACGGTTTCTGCCTCCTGCAGAATTCTGGCATTTGTAGTTTGGTGAGGCTGTTAAAGGCTCCTCCCTAAACAACAAACCCCACAATTCTGCAGGAGGCAGCAACTGGATTTAAAGTGGATTCATTCTCTAGTGCAGGTATGGGCAATCTTTCTAACTTGGGGGCCGCATGGTGGGCTAGAGCAGGTTGGGTGGACTGGGAGGGAGGGGGTTCTCCCCAAGTTTCTTCCTTGTCTTTTCCTCCCCTTCATCTTCTTTTTTGGAGGTAGAAAGTGAAGGAAAGATGGGAAACATTTGAATCTCAAAAAGGTTGGTCTTGGTCCGGATGGGATGATGGATATGAGAGAACAAGTGTATCGCTTACTCCCCATATTGCCTACTCCTGATATAGAATCCTAGCATCCTAGAGTTGGAAGAGACCTCCAAGGGCCACCCAGTTCAACCCTCTGCCATGCAGGAAGGCACAATCAAAGCACTCCCAATAAGCCTCTGTGGAAAAGCCTCCAGAGAAGGAGACTCCACTACACACAGAGGCAGTCTATGCCACTCTCCAGGAAGTTCTTAGTAATCTTTTCAGTCAAATCTCTTTCCATGCCATTTGAAACCATTGCTGCCTTGTGTCCTGGTCTCTAGAGCAGCAGAAAAGTTTTTTCCTCCTCCTCCTCCTCCTCCTCCTCCTCCTCCTCAATGGGACACCCTTTTAAATCTGGAAACATGGTTCTCATTTTCCCTCTCTACCTTCTCTTCTCCCACCTAAACACCCCCAGGAAGAAGGGAGGAAGGAAAAAGAGAAGCAAGGAAGGAAGGAAGGTTGGAAGAGAAGGATGGGTGGAAGGGAGGGGGGAGGGAGGGAAGGGGGGAGGGAGGAAAGAGGGAAGGAAAGACAGAAAGAAGGAGGAAAGGGTGGAAGGGAATGAGGGAAGGAGAAAAAGGGAGGTAAAGAAGGAAGGGAGGGAAGGAGGAAGGAAAGAGAGAAGGAAAGAAGAAAAGCATTGTGTGAAAAAGGAGGGCCTAAGAAAAGAGCCCCATCTGGCTCTAGGCCTGGGTTTGCCCATACCTGCTCTTGTGTGATGAGGTCTTAACTTATGTTAACAAATGTATTCTTCAGACTTAAATGCCCGTGTAGTTCATATTCATAATTGGGAAACAGTGAACTGTTTAATATGGGCTCTCCACTGTAACACCTTCTCTGCGCACAAAGTGGCAGAGATTAAAATAAATCTTATAACACCCAGATAGATCTGCTCACAGAATTTGGGTAAAGCAAAGGCTTTCCTCAAGGGAAGCTATAGCTATTCCATAAGTCCAATTCAATCCTATGTTTAAAAATATCATGATACGCCATAGAGTTTTCTTGGAAATGCAAACAGCCAATCAAAATGAAAAAATGATCACGGACTCCTTTTTCATGATGCTGAAGTTGATGGATATTTCCATGTTAACAATTCCAGTTCTGTACTTCAACACCATTAACTTTAACTTATTTTTGTGGAATCAAATTTAATTTCTCAGAAAGAATCAACCTAAAAACAATTTTATATCAAGAGTAATGCTCATATTATCTCTCTTTTTGGTCTTTAATTGGAATTTGAGGGAAATTGTTAACAATTGTTCACTCCAGGAACTATTAAATTATCCATTACTGTAATTTTTTTCAGTAATAAAATGTGTTCAAGTGCGCCACTGGTGTAAAAGCAGAAT